CCCGGGCCGGGGGCTTGGTGAGGCTGTGCTGAGGAGAAACTGATTATAACATAAAAGAACAATTATTTGTGCTTGAGAAGGCTAAATACAGATGTACGGATGGGAGCGAACAGGCATGTAAACAGCTGGGGGCTGAGTCTGTATTGCTAAGGAGGAAATTCAGTGGGATGGGTGGATGCTGCTTGAGAAAGGAAACGCTCCGTAAGAAATAACAGGCGTTTGAGGTAATCTTACTGACATCTCGCAGGTACATGGAGGTTATTATTCAGAGTACAAGCCAGATTAATGATTTCCAGGACTGCGCAGGTTGTGCTCTGTTCCTAACAGCATTGCTCGAGGCTTCATAGCTCGGAAGAATTAAGTCCTGCTCCAACAAGTTGTGGAGGACCTGAAGTAAACACCGCTCGCTTTCCTGCCTCGTGCTCGGCTGCTCTGGACGCACCTTTTTCTGCCGCTTTTCCCACAGCGTCTCCCTGAGCAGAGCCAGTGGTGCCTTTCCCGTAGGAATTTGTCTTCTGGCAGCCGCGACGGTGTCAGACACGTCCTCGTGGGCAGCAGCAGCGCTGGCACAGAGGCAAGTTCTCCGGGCAGCAGAAAGGTAGCGTTTTCTTCCAAATTGCCCATTGAATTTTTTGGTCAAAATAGCTTAACCGCCCAGGAAGTTCTGCTTTTGCCCACATCTCCCCCGCAGGACTCAAGGCTGTTTCAGTTCAGCACAGTATAGCTGCAAATCCGGAAGACGTTTATGAAGTTAATTTTTCACTGGCAGCCTGTGTGTGTTGCAGTGTTACAGGAGGGTTTAGGAGTCCAAGGCAGGGTCAGGATTGCCCTCTGCACGGTGCTGCTGTCAGCCAGGCCAGTTGTTTTTGACGTGGGACCTCTGTAACCAGGTAAGGTGGGAAAAGGGCACTCGGGAGGGAAGCGGAGCAGCAAACAGCCTGTTTCATCTGCGTCGGTGCTCCTTGGATTCAGGCAGGCTCGAGTTACAGACCTATCTACTCCATTTCAATGAGGAAATTACAGAGATTTTAAAAATAAACAGTCCTATCCACTCCTCCTCCTGTTCCCAAACTTTGAAGAGCTTTTGCTGTCTGAGACGTCCCTGAAATGACTGCAGTTGCCAGGAGCTGAGGCGTAAATCAGCACCGGAGCTGGACGGGACTTGGGCTGTTTTCTTCAGAACTTGGCTGAGCAAGAGCAGGTAAAGGGGGGGGAAATGTCATTTTGAGCGCGTTCTGTTCAGTGTGTTTTCAAGGCGGCCATGAAAAGGCAGAACAAGCCAGCAAGGCTGCCTTTATCTCGGTAAGGACAGCAGCTTCAAAAATGTAAATATGGAAACGCTTGCTCACAAAGATTACACTGCTAGACCTCAGTGATGCAACAGGATGAACTGACTTGAGCTGTGTTGTTTTTGTGCAAAGCTGCATGGCAAAACAGGAGCTGAAAAACAACAGTAAAAACCCTAAACACAGAAGTTGCATCTTCTGTTACTGGCGTTACAATTATTTAGGTTCTCAAACGCACCCTTTGTGAGGCAGAGCAGTTCGTCTCGCTGCCTGTGGGAACATGGCTTGCTCTTATCTGTAAAGACAGATACTGCAAACAGTTTACAAGGGGGAAAATCTGGGCTGCTCCTGGAGCGGGAAGCTTGTTTAGGATATTTAGTTTGTTTAGCAGTTGCCAAACTGCTGGGAAGGGGTGAGCTAGGAACTGATGTGTCCTGGTGTGTTACTTATTGTGTCAGTTAACCCCGTACTTGGGTCCTCTACCTCTGTACTCCTCCAGACAGTCTGTCGCCTGGAAGGCGTGGGGCACTCCAGGGGTTCTTAAATCTCCCTTCAGCCTCCTTCCTGTGACTATTTTTGGTGATTCTTTTATTTCAGCTATAATGAGGCCATTCTCCAGTCACGCATCACTTTACATATCTTTGGGGAAAGAAAACAGAGTTGCTGATATTTTTTTTCCTTTTTTTTTTTTTTTTTTTTTTGGTAAAGTCACTATTAAACCCTGCAGCAAACCTTTCTTTCCATCCCAAAGGTTGTTTTGGGTGGTGAATACCTGGTCTTCGGCTGCATCATGGCAACGGTTGTCACTGAAAAGCTTAGCCGTCTCTTCATTAACGTGCAGCAGGTCCCTCAGCTGCTGGCCCCGCTCTCTCCTTCCACCGTCAGCAGTTCGGAGGTGCCAAAGGTCTTCTGGAAGCCCTACATCCATACTGGCTACCGGCCCGTGCAGCAGACCTGGCGCTATTACTTCTCGACGCTAAAAAGCACAACGAGGCCATCAACGTCTGGACCCATCTGGTGGCAGCGCTGATCCTGCTGCTGCGGTTCCAGCAGCTCTCGCACCGAGTGGATTTTGGGCAGGACCTGCATGCCCAGCCCCTCCTCATCATCATCGTGGCGTCCATCACCTACCTGACCTTCAGCACCCTCGCTCACCTTCTGCAGGCCAAATCCGAGTTCTGGCACTACAGCTTCTTCTTCATGGACTACGTGGGGGTCGCCATTTACCAGTACGGCAGCGCGCTGGGGCACTACTACTATGCCATCGAGCCAAACTGGCATGAGAAGATCAAGGGATTTTACATGCCGGCGGCCGTCCTGTTGGCATGGCTGTCCTGTGCCGGTTCCTGCTATGCCAAGTACCAGTATCACCAGTCTGCCCACCTTCTGAGCCGCCTCTGCCAGGAGCTGCCCTCGTGCCTGGCGTACATGCTGGACATCAGCCCTGTGGTCCACCGCATCTACAGCGCGCCGCCCTCCGAGCACGCTGACCCGGCCCTTCTGTTTCACAAATGCCAGGTGCTGTTTTTCCTCATTGGTGCCTTTTTTTTCTCACACCCTTACCCTGAGAAGTGGTTCCCGGGGAAATGTCACTTCTTTGGGCAGAGCCATCAGATTTTTCACGTGTGCCTGGTGCTCTGCACGCTGGCGCAGATCGAGGCGGTGGTGCTGGACTATGAATCCAGGCGACAGATCTATTCCACTCTTCAGGGTGATTTGGCACACAACTTCTCTGCCCTGTGCCTCTTCACTGTGACTTGCTCTGTCCTCACAGCTGCTTACATGGCCCAGAAGGTGAAGAACAAGCTGAGCTTCAAAGAAGAGTAAGAGCCCTGAAGGAGAAGCCGGTGAGCTCACCCCGACGGTTGACCTGCAGCCAGCTGTGGCCATGCTGGCATGGATCCAGCCACAAACTTTGAGAAGAGTAGTAATGAAATGCTTCGCGAACTGTTACTCGGCAATGCTCTCTATAGGGAGGGAAAGCGAGAGCTGCTTTTTATGCTTTTTTAAAATTCAGAATTAGTTCCAGCTTGCTCTTAAAATGGTACACTGGTTTAATTCACGTCTGAATAAACAGTTGGAACAAAACGTTGTTAGCGCTGCAGCCCTGAACCCCAACAGCGCCGGGCTGGGAAAGGTTCTTGGAAGCTGGTTGCCAAGGTCTCACAGCAAAAGGTAAGGAGATGCCAGTGGTGGCAGAATCTAACCCACGTGAAACAGACTGAGGTGGGCTTGTATAAACCACAAACATGGGTAGCAAATTTATTAAATATCATTTCAGGCCCCTTTTATAGGGCTTTTAGGGAGCTATACAGAGCTGGGGGAGGGCTGGGAAAGGTTCTTGGAAGCTGGTTGCCAAGGTCTCACAGCAAAAGGTAAGGAGATGCCAGTGGTGGCAGAATCTAACCCACGTGAAACAGACTGAGGTGGGCTTGTATAAACCACAAACATGGGTAGCAAATTTATTAAATATCATTTCAGGCCCCTTTTATAGGGCTTTTAGGGAGCTATACAGAGCTGGGGGAGGTCAGGGCGCGGGCGGCGTGCAGCAGGCAGCTGGGCTGGGGGCAGGAGAGCCTGAGGGAGAGGAGGGCGGCGAACCCCAGGTGTATCGCGCTGCTCCCTCTCC